ATAACTGAATAGAACTTTAAGGTGCTTTTTAGGTCATTTTCTCTACAAAAACAGCATTGTCACAGAAAGGAACTACAGGGAATACATACACGCATTTCTGAGCAATAGTCATTTGACAACTAGATTACATGGAATTACACGATATATGTAAGCCTAATGGGGTTGGCAATGCATTACAGGGAGATTTTTTGAAATTTTCCTTCACTGGAGATCAATTGAGTTCCAAACATTTACAACTGTATCGACACTTCATTACTTTGTGCTTAAAAGTGCCATTTCAGACACTTTTGTTTTTCCTTTTTAGAGACGTCTAAAATGCTCAGTATTGAGCAACAAACCCAAACAGCAAATAAAAATGAATTAACAAGTGATGGCCTTAAATCAAAGACCATAAACCATTCAATCTTAGATACAGCTGTACATTCTACATTGTTTAGATTTTTAAACTTCAATCTTAGCCCAGAAAAAAACAAGCTTTGTCAATTACAATTGCTATAATTTCATAGGACATTGTGGATGAAATTTAAAAAATCAAGTTGGAGGAACAGACATTCCCTAGAGCTAGAACATTAACATGCTATGGATCTTATGAGCAAGGGCAGCATTATTGCCATGGCTGCAGAGGATGATGATGCATATGATTACTACCTCATGAAAGTGACAAGAAATGGCCTTGTTACCTCAAGATCAGAGGAAATGGATGACTGTAGGTCTTACTTAATTCAGAAAAAAATTATAAGCATTAACAAGGGACATAAATTTAAGACTCTTCAATAAATCATTGCAGTAACGTATTATTCAACCATTTAATAGAATAAAAGTACAGAGTCGCTGACCAATCAGAACTTGACAAAAATGACCAATATGACAAATAATGGTACCTTAAAACACCCTTCAAGACCTCACACTAATTCATATGAGTATTTACTCGTTATGTCGCTTTTGAAAACAACATTTCTATAAACAGTAGCCAGTCAACAAGAAAACGTTAGGCTCATGGCCCTGAAAACACCTTTGGAGGTTATGTCCATAACCTATCACCCATCAAACGCAATTGCAGCAATACTTTGGACAGCATAACCTTCACACTCCAAACAGATTCTGACCAACCCCAAGAAGGCTTACTCAGGGGGTTCATTAAGGGCCGGGCACCGGGCAAATTGACCGGCTGTGAATACGACTTTGCCCGGCTGTTTTACATCTCAAAGAACTTCTTTTTATTACAAGGAACAATCAAAAACAGTTTTAAGTTACAATAGTGCCCTTTTCTTGACGAGTCTTAGCGAGTGTAAAACATACTCTGCCGTGCAATTTCCACTTTATTACACGTGGCATGAAATCCCCTCGTTCGTTATGTGTTAATAACAAGAATCGCCCCACAACACATTGCGAAAAGACCTGTGTTTCATAAACGACTACCTGAAATGTATCAGCGTTGCGAGCACGTGAACATGGCGGCCCAGAAAAGAACACGTTCGATAGCGGATTATTTTTCGGCTTCAACCAAAGGGCTTCCAGTAGAGAAAAGGCCAAGAGGCAAGTAGACTTCTTAATGATTTACTTGCCTGTATATATTGAATGGCTTAATCATAATGTTCAACGAGGCCAGGCGTGATTTTTTATTCGTCTTATAGTTTACGCCAATGAATTAATTTTCGGTGGGTCCACGTTAAAACAGTGCTCCTCCCGTCTAGTCATTGAAATTTTAAAGATAAGTTGTTAAACTAATACTTTTGTGATTCACCTTCTAGCGAAAACTCTTCGTCTCTCCAAATGTTTGTCTGACGCACTTCATCTAATCACTCAATCATGATTAAATTGTCTAGAAAAGTTATCTTTTTTTGGTTGTTGAAAGTCATTGTCTGCAGCTTCAAAATGAAGGAAAACACGTCCCTGCAACCATAGAATTTCAAAATTTTCCGGGGGAGCATGCTACCCGGACTCCCCTAGAAGTCAAGGCCCTCCGGGCCTTGCCAATTCTTTGCCCGGGTGTTAAACTCAGTTGCCCTCCTGTTGAAAACCTTAATGAACCCCCTGCTTACTTTACTCTCCTTCAAAAAAAACTTTCTTGAAGCAGAGCCCAAGAGGTAAAACTCCAAAAAACTTGTCAACTATGCCTAAACAGAGGATGGCCAGAAAATTGTTGTAAACGACATGACCAAAGTGGGAACACCACAAGTGACTAAATACTGTTTCCATTATTCAGAGCTGGCAACCCATTTCAATACAGGAAGTTCTTAACAACCACAAAGAGTAGGATACAGTAACTATACAAGGGACGATAACCCAATTAATAGAGCTAAGAACTGTTGGAAACTTAAGTAAGCCCCCTCAACTGGTGGAGCTGACTTTATCTGACTTAACAGGACGCATTCCCCCGGATGTGTTTGAAGAAAACATTGCCAAGATAAAGCAAGGCAAATCATACACATTGACAGTTGAAAATATGGTCTGGGCATAAAAACTTTCACCTACAAGGCAAACAACCATAACAGAGAGCAATGACAAAAAGTTGGCAGCAATCATTGTTCAAGAAAACAAAGAAGATGCCCTGACAGTTACAGCGGTGACCAAAGAGGTGACAAATGTACCTCACTGTGAAAATTTTTCAAAGTGTTATAAATGTTTCAAAAAAGTCAGCCAGTCAGGAGCATTGAAAGTCGCCCATTGTGCAAAATGTGGCATGATCAAGGCCGATAAGTGAACAGATGGTTTGTCAATTACTATTGAAGTCATTGATGACAAACAAAAACCAAATGCACTGAAAGTTACCAGCAAAGTGCTCAAGAAATTGTCACAAGAAGAATTACCTTTGGAGGAAAATGCAATTTGAGAGAAACTGTTATTAACTTTATGGAAGACTTTCAAGCTACATATGATGCTAAATCCATAATCTCACGCATCAACCATTAAAAAATACTAAAGGTAATTTGACATTTAGTTTAACCATCTTTAGTTGTTTATTTGTATAAATTTAGTTTTCATTTATACTTAAAAATTGCATTGCATTATTAAAACAAAATAGACTATTTTAAAGTTCTGCCAAATATGAAGAAAGGTAAATAGTAAACAATGATCATTTAGCTAATGTTGTGTTAAAAAAGCCTGAATAACCAAAGGACTTTGGTTAACACACTACTAAGGCTTCATTTTCTTGCTAGCCAAAAAACATATAGTGTAAAGAAAATGTTGGTAATAAAAGAAACATTTCAGTACAATCAATACAATCTTTGTTTTTGTGTTTGTTATATCTGTTTGGCTGTATATAATTGTATACGCAAATAAACCCAGCAAAATACAAAAATGTAGTCATCCTCAGTTCTTATGTTTCTAAAGATGCATGGGTAACCTACTCTGTGCTAGCCTTTTTACGCCTTAAGTGCTCAAATTTGGTAATCTATTTAATTAGCTCATTGCTGAAACTAGGCCATCCTCATCGCTACTAGTTTATGCATGAGGATATGCTATTTTGTTAAAATCACAGCCAAGGTTTTACTAGTAATATCAACACCCCAGGAAAGTAGCAAGTGAGAATGTCCTGAGGTGTATGGAGGTGTGCATGAACCCTGCTTCGTAAACGGAGTTTAGCCAGTGTTTAACAAAACCGTGTTCTCAGCCATTTTCAGTTTGCTGAATGCTTTTATGAAGACACCATTTATCATGAACAGTTTCGTAAAAGCATATGGGATACACTAGAAAAGTTTTCTTCTTCTTAAAATAACCCCCTAAGAAAGAGATCTGGAGGTTCAAAGATTTCCTAAACCGTTAGACTTCATTTAAATAATCTAGGGTTGTCTGAAAGTTTTGAAGTAGATGGCTGTGTTGTCAAAGTAAGTGGCCATTCCAGGGATATTTTATGTAAAAAATGCCACCTGTAAAGAAATGCCAAGCAGAGTAGCCGGCCGATACGAATCAAGTAGGCAGCAATTTTCAACAGCAGCCAGCTACTTCGGACAACCCTGATAATCAGCCCTATATTTCTTGGTATTTCGTGCTTCCCTTTATCGAATTTCCCATGGAAAATATCTTTATCCATAAGAGCAATGTCCAGGGCTCTCATTAAGAGGCAGGGGCCAGGGGTTTCCCCCGGCTACGATGAGCATGATCCCCGGCTACTTTCATAGGAAAATAGAAGAAAAATAGAACCAAACAAAATCCCTAGCTGTTTGATTCCCCGCCTACTTGTTGTATTTACCCGGCAACTTGAAATCTTAATGACAACCCTGAATGTCTCTTGGTGATAATAGTTCTTCCCCCAAATAGATTTAGATTACCTTCTAGCATTACTCTAAACTCACTAAAGTAAACATTCAATAGCTTACTAATTTTCCAAGATTCTTTTCATAACCAACGTATGAATTTGCCCCTTGTAAATAACAACAAAACATACTACCCCATGCTACAACATATTTTCCATTGAGATAAAACATCACCCATGCAACTCTGAACACAGTCAAAAACATATACACTTATCGTCTCAAAAACATACCTTCTAGCATTACACCCCTAAATGCACTTGAAGGAGACAGATTTTCATACAAAAAATAACACATCAAAGTGTTCAGAGCAAAAAAAGGGGGAGGTAGGTCTTTTACCTCCTGCCAAAATGCTGCTTGTTCCAATAAGTTTTTTCCTCTGCTGGGTAGATTATCCTCTGAGCTTGACTGAGCAAATGTGATTTTAAGCTTATCATTTGTGCAACTTTTTCCTTACTCTTTACTTTGATGCCACTGATTTTATTTTCATTTCTTCTTAGGATCTCTCCTTTTCACTTACTACAATCTAATACGTTTAGTGATTCATGCATTGTTTCCAGATGTTTATGCATACTGACTGTTGTTTTTTCATTATCGATTAACAACATTTTAATATTATGACTAGGGTATCTAAAAGATAGTAATGCTGCGGCACATTCTGTTGATACTGGCATTAGTTAGGCAGCGAGACTTAAAAGAATAAAAAATGACATTGAATGTCCTATTTACATGTTGGAAAGTACTAGAATAATTACTATCATTCTATAGAAAGAACTCGTGGGAACGTTGTTTAGAAAATGATCAAGTGGTTATCAACTCTGGTTTTCCCACAGCAAACTGTAGGAAATAATAGAAATTCAGATCGTTTATCTCTATATTTAATATACGGTGCAAGATATTTTGTCTGGAAACACAATACTTTTCTTGCTGTTTGTTGCACTTTATTAAGTAACAGTTATTTACCTATATATCTATAGAAAACAACAACACAAAAAACGGGAAAAAAAAAAGAAAGAAGGAATAAATAATTCGGTAGGACTCGAAACCCGGCACCTTCGACTCGCCGCGACTACTCCTAACCACTACACCACAGAGACTGATTACGTAATCATAAGGAAAAGTCTTTCATTTTATTCCTTTTCCATGAAACTTCAGCCAGCAAGATGATTGCTAGCCGCATTAACCGAGCTATTAACAGTGCTAAAACAATGTAAACGCATATTCCATGGCAAAAAATGAATGAACATAATTATGCTTTTCAAAACGCCGATACACGTCCTCATCGGCAAAGTAGAACACAAAACATATGTTTGTTACCTCGATTTCCGCTGTTATTTTGAAGCGAATGGTCAAAATCACATCCATTTTCGGCTCATACAGTTTCTTAAGAATAGCAGTGCATGACATTTTCTCATCACATTTCTTTCACATCACCTTCTAGCAAGCTGGAATTTGTATATCCCCCGTGTTGCGGAGTCGAAGAGCAAATGCTCATCTTCTCGTGAGGTTTAACACCTGGATGAGTCAAAAAGGCTCTTGAAATGAAATCCAATCCCCAAGTTAACCATCGTACTCATCTGAAAGACTCCTGCGTGTCTTAAAATTTGTTAAGACCTCTAACCGTGCTGTACAAAATTTGCCACAAAGAAAACTCTAAGTCTGAGCAGCGAACGATGCACTCTCTCACCCACCGAACTTACCCGTGTTTATATTTGAGTTGTTCGTGGTGCAATGCACTCTGGTTAAATGCAATGCATTGTGGTAAAAAGTGTGGTTAAATGCAATGCATTGTGGTAAAAAGTGATGAATTCGAGAATTCGTCGCCCCTTATATATTTCCTTTAAATCCTGATTATGTTGCTGCTCGCTCCCTTCGGTCGCTCCACAGCAATTACTTAGATGAAGGTTTCTTATTTAAATTTTTATACAGGAACATAAAATTCCATGGCACTACGTAGTTCAGATGACACTGACCTCTCTCACTTCAAGTAGTTATGTCTCTCAAGCCAAGTTCTAGCCTCAGTGGCCGAAAGTTGTCACAAAGACCCTTGAAAAATATGACTACACTTGATGCAAAAATTTAAAAGGCAAAGTAAGTGGAAAACATGTACTTTTATCCTGCTAAACTGTTGACATTCAAGAAATCAGTAATCTTTTCAGTTCCACTGAACAGTAATTTCTTACAATACATGGGAGTTGTTTCAGCGATTTCTAAGGATCTGATCGATGATGCACGGAGATACCACATTGATAAAACTAGTATTTTGTCTGAATGCTCCTTCCAGCTGTCACTGGACCTTTCATTACATTTTCTTAAAGAAACTACTACTGGCTTTTGATTAATAAAGAACAACATGAAATAAATGCTAACATGAAATGGGAAAGAGACCTCCTACATGTACCAGAAAAAAATACTTGCACAGCATTATTTCTCCCATGTGAAAAATATTTCCAGAGATAACAAACTAAGAGAATTCTACTTAAAACTGTTAGACAGAAATGTCGTCACAAAAAGAGAACTGTTCACGTATGGTATTGCAGAAAATGCGCTTTGCCCACGCTGCAAACAAAATGATTCAATAATCCATACTTTTTGTAACTGCCACTGGACCACGTCTTTTTTTTCAAAGTAATCAAATGGTTCAACATCGAAAATGCCACCTCCTTTGCACCATCCTCAAGTGAATTATTCTTTGATCTTAATAATGATAGAGAGAATCAAAGCTCATTGGAAATTGTCAAAAAGCCCTATTTTACTCTCTTGGTTGCTAAATATTACTTGTACATAAATAAGTTAGCACCTAAAGATTTATCTTTGGATGAATTAAAGGCTTAAATCAGTGGGAGGTATGACTTTGAAAAAACCCCTCCTCCAATCAATTAGTAAGAATCCACCTTACAAGAATAATATCTTCATTAACAGCTCTAATGTTATTGTGTGAATTATTAAAACTGCTGTATTATTCTTTTTCACTTTTTACTATTATATTATTATTGTGGTACTTTCTTTTAGTTTGAAAATTTTGTAATTGTAACATGTGTTTTGTAAATGAACACCATTAAAAAAACATGACACTTACAAGTGAAGAATAGGACAGCAGAACCAATGTAGGCAGTGTTCTCACCAGACCGCGACATTGCGACATTGCCATGCTTTTTCGGGACATGCTGCAGTATAATTAGCTCAAGGGGTCCTTAGGGCACAAAGAAGGAAAATATCTGTAATAAAAAGTACATTAACATGCATTAAGTTATATACATATGTTCCTGTATAATATACAGTGGAAGCCAAAATTTAATCAGTTATGGTGTCTCTACAAACACCTAATAAGGGACGTCCATGAACTAACAAGTTCTGTGCATGCTCATGTGTGAAATGATGCATTCTGAAGTTCTACTATCTTGAATGAATTTCAGTGGTTATACTGATATTTCACTCATGGCAAAACACACAACATTATTCCATTTTGCAAAACTTCTAAGGCTAGATGCTGATGAAAGTACAGGACCAAATAAACCAATGTAAGACATTAACAATGAAACGAAAGTTGAAGACGGCCATCAAGTTCAACAGCTACTTCGCCAAATGCAATGAGCTCAACCAAAATTCTGCACAATCATTTCATTAAAGCTGAGACATTGAAGTGCACATGGCTTATATCCGGAAGGACGATTTAATGGGGGGTTTTTGCATTACGAGTTTGGGGGTCTTGTATTTGGAGGGGCTTATTTTCGTACTTTTTGGGTATCTCACACAACAACGATGCGTGTATAAAGCTGCTAGGTAATTTGGGTAAATCCCCCATAAATAATTTTGGTCTTGTTTGAATCAGTGTCCTGAAGAGGCTGGGGTAAGCAAGAAAATGGACGCATACATCACACATCGATTAACTCTGGTAGTGTTGACAGAACCCAATCAAGATTTGTTCAAATACCCCAACCGTTTTCAGCAATCGCAGCAATGGGATGTAAGCTTTATTATATACTGATAAAGAGTGCTGTTTGTCATTGGGCGAATCGACTGACGCTGTTGGGAGACTCGACTTTAGGGCGAAACGACCACGTTTCGATAGGTGTGATCTGGTTCTACACGGCGGTACAAACATGTTATACGTAAAACCCAGTGGAAACTCAATGAGCAATATTGTCTGGAAACCGACATTAAAAATTTAACAATTCAACCAAATTAACTGCATGAATGTTCAACGGAAAACTACCCAAAATGTGTAGCTTATCATGCCGGTATTTCAGCATAATGTCGAATTCAGCTATTTCTATACACAAAACAAGCTGCTGATTCACTCGTGTTTGCAGAACGTTAGAGAGGTTTTTTCAGTTAAACAACGCCGAAAAAATTCAAAGTTCTCTTGTTATCTAAGCACAATGTTAAATATATGAGATTTTTACCTTTCGAAAGGATTCTTTTACTCGCTTGATCTGCGATGAGTTTTCGCCATGCCAGACAGCCTATGGTCCCTGTACGGTCTTGTATAAACAGAGTCTTACAAGGCGACGCGAGTTCAGGGCTTGAAATCCTATTTCAAAACCTCCGTCTTCTTCTTACGCTGTGAATATTACACAAATGACGCACAGAAAAAGGGCAATGAACTCTGATGACAGTTGTCAGCTGTTCGTGGTTCTTCGCCGAACTGCATGCCTTGGGGATGTGTTGAGCCGCGTATCGATTTCGAACCCACCAATCACATGACGTTGAAAACAATGAGACAGTTGTTCACCACCGGCGGGGTCCCAGCGGGGACGCCCGGCAGAAAAAAAAAAGAGAGAAGTCCTGGGGAAGTCTGAAATGTCATACGTCTCCACCCCTAGAAAAAAAAGTAGAGGCAATGCATGAAACGTCGCTGCTAAGCGTAAAAGTTGAGCCTCGCTCGACGTCTCGTTTAAGCTCAGCACTTTTTATCTTGCCTCTACAGTATTTTATTTACGTGATTAAATTTTACGTGCGTTAACGTCCGTAGCCAGACTACGAAGAAAAAAAAAATAACGAAACGAGCCTGAGAATTAGCCGTTTCGGGGGAAAGGGGGGAAGAGAGAAGCGCACAGTAAATCTTCACATGGCTTTGCGACCGAAATCCTAGCTAAAGGATATCAAAATCATATCCCTCTTTCTGCAAACACTTCATCCCGACCAATAAAAAATATGATTAGACTTTTGTCTTCCCAATTTCGCTTTCCTAAACTGAACCATGAAATGCTTCCTGGCTACCGAGGCCAGGGTGGAATAACTCCGCGTGGCCAGTACGGATAGTAGACTCCAAAAAATCACAAAAAAAAAAACACCGTAAAGTGTGTCGTAAGAGTCTCACACGCGCGAAGCGCGCCAGCCTCAGACCTTTTTTCAGACCTTTGTTTGACTTCTCGCGCCAAAAAAAATGCGCACTGTTTTGCACTCAATGTACCCTACCAAAAAATCCGTTTCTCCTCGCTCTTCGCCAAAATGTCCCCGGCGGCGAAGAGCGAGGAGAAACGGATGTTTTCGCAGGCTACAGTCTATTGCTTAAAGAAGCTCCGGATATCGGCCCGCTCTATCGCTATTTAGCCCATGCATACAGATATCCTGTATAGTCACATGACTTCTATAATTAATTAAAAATGTATGTATGAATATACGACACGTTTCTCTTTACCTGTAAACAGTTCATTCCAGGGAGTAATGTAATGAAAGGCTTCATAACTTCTTTCCATATATGAATATTTTTTTTTATCGCGCATGCTTCACTTACTCGACTACTCTTGACTTTTGTACAGTGGAACCCAGGAATGGGCCACTGGTGGAACCCCGATATAACGAAGTCCTCGGTTTCACGAACTATTTTCTTTACCCTAGACATAACAAGATATATGAAAAATAACCTCGATATAACGAACACATTTTGCTAGTCCCTTGGCTCTTCGTTAACTCGAGGTTCCACTGTATCGACTGTTCATACATACATACATATTTATTGGCTCGTCCCCACGTGGCTTTCAGAGTCGACGTTACAGTAATAATATTAAACACAGAAAGCTAACAACAAGAAAAATAATTAACTAACTAAAGAGGGCGTCTAGAGGAAGTCGTCTAAGAGTTGATGCTTGAAACTTTTAACGGATTCGCTTAAATAGCTTGAACAATGGTTGCAACTTATTCCAAAAGGACGTCGCTCTTTGTTCGAAGGATATTTGGCCACTAGAAGTGCGGAACAGTGGTATTCTGAACATTTTCGACTTCCTGGTTGTCCTTGTCGAAACGGCCGATCTTTTTACGAACTTTGATGTTAAGTAAGCTGCAGCACTCCCAGTCATGCACTTGCACCGTAATTTTAAGGCAGTTATTATAACTCCAAAAATGGAGTAAAAAGTTAAGGTACAGGATAACCCCTTTTGGGGGGGTTATTTTATAACTCCGAATCTGGGGTCATTTTTACTCCTCGAAGAGAGTTGTTTTTACTCCCAATCTGGAGTTAAAATAACTCCGAAATGGGGTTACTTTTACTCCTTACATGAGTTGTTTTTACTCTTTTTGGAGTTAATTTAACTCTCAAAGTAGAGTAAAAATTTTAGGATAACTCCTTTTTGGGGGTTATTTTAACTCCTCAATATCTGGGGTCACTTTTAATCCTGAAAAAAAGTTATTTAAACTCCTTTTTGGAGTTAAAATAACTCCCCAAAAAATAACTCCATTGTAAGGAGTTAAATTAGTCTCACTGGAGTCGAAAGTATAGCTTTTGCTTGACCGGGAGCCAACACAAGTCCTGCATATCTTACTGTCATGCAGAAAGAACAAGAACACAAGCCTCACGTCATGTCACTCCAAATTTGCTCCATGATTGGGTATTTGCTTGGTTTGTACCTTGCGAAAACAGCTGTTTCTCCTCGCTCCCCGCCGCTGGAAGCGATGAGGGAGGGGAAACATCTGTTTTCGCAGGCTACTTGTTTTGGTTCCCGGATCAAAGCATTCCCATAAGTGGAAAAGCTCTGGACTGGTAAAGACGAAACTTCTGTTAAAAAAAGAAAAAAAAAAATAGCGAATTGTAGCTCTTGTAGATCTTGAGACTCAAAGGTCTCCAAAAACGACGCTTAACTGGAGAATATCAAATTTGAAACAAAAAAGATCTATCGAAAGGTTTCAAAATTATTTGCCAGTTTCTTAAAGTAAACCGAAATGTTTCCAAACCCCCTCCGATGTCATCCCAACCCTGATCATAACAATTTTCACCTTTATCTAATACAATTGTGGTGGAAATTTTTCAAAATGTGGGTTTATGGCGACCATTAGCACAAACGTGGGAGGTATTGACCCTGAAAAACTGCATCAAGCCACCATAACGAGCTGACTTCCCGTCGTATCAACAATACAATTGAGAAAATATTTTAAATTGCCTATTTTTAACGGATTTTTACCTTTAAAAAGTCACCTAGAATTTTCGAGAGCTTTTTTTGTGGCTGAAATTTTGACCCCTATAATTTTCGGATCACTAGACTTCCAGCTAGGAAATCCGAAGAGATGAAAAATTTTTAGGGGATAAAAATATGCCTATATCTGCTGTTTAAGTACTAAAATACGTTCAACAATGCTATGTTTAAGTTTATGCTTGGTTTGAGTGGTTGGGTGCCCCCCGTGATACTATGATTTCTAATTATAGTGAGCTTTCTGTTGCTTTTTATGAGCATTTCTCAACAATTGGGCCCCGACGTGCCAATGAAAAAACTCCAACTTATAACTACCGTAGTATTAGTAAAGTCCAACTGGTGGACTTTCATCAATGCTGCGTTCTGATTGGTTGAGCTACTACTAGGCTACATGGTTATCGCCCACTAGTGGCGAAAAGCGCCGGCTTTGAAGACCAAAACAATGGCGGCTAAATCGCGTATTGCTAGCTATTGCTGGGGTTTCTCTCAGTATTTTTGACCAACTACCGGGATTTTACTAAAACAATTATCCCTCTTGGCACTACAGCTGCCCCTGCTCTGTGTGTTGTCGGTTAATGGCCGTTTTCACTCTAGACACGAATTCACTGTCATTTAAGTTTTAACTATTAAGGCAATTCTTACAAAAAAACAAAACAGAAGGACAGTTGTGAGTTGGGAATATGTCAGCACAGAGGGATCGACGAATTTCTGTAATCGTCCATCGATCTGCTATTGATAAGATAGCCTGTTCTAGGCTACGAAATAATGGTGAAAAGTCGTTCAGTAACAAGAAATGCGGAAAACGCGCGGGGGCTGGGGAGAGACAAGATAGTTGTCAAGGCTGTTGATTCACTCGTCTTGCTTGTTTATGGACTGAGTCTTATTCCCCCGAAGCGAGAAAATACATGTTCGGCAGATTCATTGTTTCCAACCATATATTTGTGATAGATTTGAGTTTTGTAATAAACTCATGACCGTGTATATACACATAGTTATACGCACCCTATAACTTCCTCCGCGCTTGGTTCATAACTTTTCGAAACTTTCAAGACACCATGTAACGCAAAAGAGTATCGAAGTATGACTGTACAACAAGTGTTAGAAAATCAACCCAAGCGGTCCCTTCGGGGATTTCTGTTTCACGCGATCCTAACCATTTCTAACTTGTGGGCGTGAGAAATAGAAACGCCATCATTACTCAACGATTCCATGCGGCCCCTGATCAACCAAGTCGAGAGTTATTCTGATATACTGACTGTTATGTATATGTTGTAGTTGATTTTTTATCTCAGGTAATTTTTATTTTTCTTTTGTTTCAACTTCATTTGCATACATTACCATACCCCAAAACAAAAGAAAATTTACCTGAGATGAAAAATTAACTACAACATATATCTTAACTATAAGTACTTCACTATACTAACTTGCGAGCTACTAGGATGCCTTCTCGGAATATCGATCCCTGTAAGGGCGATAATGTTTTAAGTTATGTTAACAATTCATTGTTAACAATGCCAACATTAATCGGGCACAACAAGTCAATGTCACACGACGAGCTGCTCACTACGGCTAACATGGCATCCTTATATTGTAGGCGATTACACCAGACGTTACTACTTCTTTTTAAATGTTTTTAAAATGGTACGGTACCTACTTATATTGGAAGCCTCTTTAAATACAGGCATACACCGTATAGGCTAAGAGGCGAGGGCGTGAATTTGGAATGACCTAACTTTAATCTTAAATTTAAGAAGAATTCTTTCACTTATTCATTAACTAAGCTATGGAACACTTTGCCGCCTCAAGTGCGTCTTTCAAGTGATGCTAATGACTTCAGAAGTAAATCGCACGATTGCAGCTTTTTAGAATGTGTCTTATAGTGCACGATTGTAGCTTTTAACTGTTTTTAGAACGAGTATTATAGTTTTCCTAGTCACGTTTTTAGTACGTGACTCTTTGGTCGGTTTTAGCTTTTTATATTTTATGTTTTTATTACCAAGTTTTTTATATGTATAAATTTATTTAATTGTTTTTAAAATTGAATAATATTATATAGCTGTAATTATTATAGATTTTATTTATACACGTTCGTATTTTGAACGAGTTTTTTTAGCTCTTTGACGTAACGTGTTAAAATAAATGATTGATTGATTGATTGATTGATTGATATGGTCAATGTTGCCCATTACGATCCCCTTCCTCCTCATGTCCTACCCGGGAAATGTGCATTTTTTTGTTCTCTTTTCTAGTGGTCCCCACCCCCGGTCACGCAAAAGGAGAGAATATAATTCCCCGCCCCAGAGCTCCTGATTGGTCTCATTTACGTTATGTTAGGTACTCTTTTTACGAGCAAAAGTAGTTTCCGTACAATATTCAAACCACACACTGTTTCCATGTGACTAGTGTGTTGATCGGTGAGAGTTGTTGCGTTGTTTTATGGCAGAGAGAGCACAGAACTTTTTTCATGTTCAAGGTGAACAAATCTGTACTTATCCCCAACAGACACGTTTTCAATAGTTTCATTAACGCTTTATAGAGTTAATTGAGAGAAGGATAACACTGACATATATCTAGTTGATACATGAACAACAGGAACAATGCATTCGAAAACGAAAAGGTAGAAAAAAAAAACTCTTGAGCGCTTCCCCGATAGAACACCTCATAAGAACACTGGACTGAACCTCTGTTTACCTCTGTATATCAAAAGCCTTCTTTCCTTTTTCATATACAGTCTGTTTAAGTTGCCTTATGATTAAACTGAGTTGAAGAAACGTTTCATAGTTACTTTTGCAACAAAATGTATTAGAGTACGCACCATACGCACATTCGTTTGAACTTTCTAAAGAAACCTTCATTTTTGACAGGCTATTGCTCTCCAACCACTCTCCGACAAATTTCTGCGTTTTATGTAGTCCTGAGTTCCGTAGTTTCGTGCAAACCGCCCAAAACAATAGCACACAATAACATATGAGCGTAAGCAACGTCCAAACACCTCTTCCCGTCGTCTCCGCGCGCTTACTATTTTTCCTATCATTGCTTTTTTTATTGGAATACTAAGCTGGAGTCTCCGCGGAGGAAAGAGCTCAGTTGTGACTGCTCTTCTGGAAGTTACTGAGAACTAGGCCTTTAACATCGAAGGCCTCTAACATCGATCGTAGAGATGTCAATGTTGTGGTTTCTCTCGGTTTTAAAAGGCAATCGACAATATTGATCAGGAAATCCTTTCATCTAAAGTGAACCTTTATCGAACCTTTACGGAGTACAAGGAAAGATGTCTCGTCGATGGTTTTCCTTCTCGTATTTCTTCACTTTTAGCCCCCCCTTTTATCTATTGTGTACATCAACGATTTGCCAAACTGCGCCCGTTTTGTTTGTTTTTTTCTCCTGTTTTTTTTTTAGGGATAATGAAATAATCTCGATGAGAAGAAGTAGACAAGGAGAGGAGCCTTTTCTCCCCTTTACGCCTGTTCCCCTAGCGGTATTGAATAATGATGGTAATCAGCGCCTGTTGCACAGTCTGCAAAACCGCGATGGGACCCGGTACAAATCGTATAAAATCGGGATATCGTTGTAAACAAGCTCGCGATTTTACTAACGACATTCGGAGGGTTTCATGAGACGAATCAAATTGCGCTTTGAGTTTATGTAGATTGAGGTGAGTTTGAAATTTTTTTCCCGTGCTCACGATAAAACATATGCCCGAAACGGGACCGAGACACAACATCGGTTCTTTCCACAAGTTGTTCTGAGGGGGTTGTATGCACTAAGCACAAGTCGAGAAATTATATTGCTGCAGCTTGATCATTTCAACAAACTTGGACAAGCTAAAAATCGCTAGATTTTAATTGTTGTACTGGGAATATCATTCAATCGAGTATCGTTAAATCCGAGGATTCTGCTTTATAGCGGAGCTGGACGCACGCGTAATCTACTCATCTGAGAAATTGTGGGAATCACGTGACCGTACTTCCTCACGAGAGATACGCCGACGTAAAATAACTCAATCAACAGGTATGGCATCCCAATGCGACTGGAGGATATTTTTGAGGGAAATCGCATAGCCACCCGCGTCTTGTGAAGCAGAGTCAACTAACGATTCAATAAAGACGAAAACGGAAACTGGAAACTGTTTCTGTATCCTCGCTGTCTAAAGTATTAAGCTTAGATTAATTGTCACGTCCACAAATTTGGAATATAGAGAAAGAGAAAGAAGGCGACAGGCCAGCAAAACTCAGCGAGAAAACAAAGCGACCGAGAGCTAGAGCGAGAGATAAAAAAACAAAGGAGACATTTTTTGTTGGAAGAACAACATGAAATTTTTTACAGCAACTAACAAAAAAAAGGTGAAAATGAGAAATACTAGGGGCGGGGTTCTACGTTTCCAAGTTTTATTTATTGATGATGGCCAACAAGGTGAAAATGAGCGGCTAGACGGGGGTGGACTATAAAAAAAAAAAAAGGTGAATAAGAACACGAACGACATTTCCTCCATAAAGGTGATGTTACACGGGACGATTCGCAACCACGATTTTTAGAGCAACACAGCTTGACAATGTTGGAACAATGTTGTAACCATTCGAAACAATGTCGCAACGGTGTTTTGCGCTAAGAATCGTTGTTGCGAATCGTCTCCTCTGACATCACCTTAAAACGTGTAACAGACGATTTTATATTTGTTTGAGCAAAATATAAATATTCTTGCTTTTAACCCTGGCTAAATCTTTATATTACAACTGCTGTTCGGTGAATGCTTTTTTCCCCTTCAAAAAGGAAACTCAGGCCACTTAAGGCATGACTACCTATTTAATTTAAATATGCTGGTTATGTTTTTGAATCGCGTTTTTCGGTGGAATGATTTAACCGATTTCTATGATTTTTGGTATCCTTCATAAAGAATGGTGCAGTTTAAGAAAATGTTATTTATTTTCTTGTATTGTAGGTACAAAAAAGCTCGAGATATCGGCATATGTCTAAAACCGCATTTTCACAGAAAAATGTCCATAACTTCCAAACCCTACGACAGATTTTTCTCTAACTTCAGGAAATAAGCCTTAGAGTTGTCTAGTTTTATATCTGCAAGTTTGAAGTCGATCGTGACCTTTAGATTTCGCTGCATAGAACGCTGTTCAAATCTATCCTAACACATTTGTGAAAGTTGACGCACAAATTCTGCAAAGGTATTCTTGCCCAAAGCTTTATTGCGAGAAACTAAGTAAACAGAAACTAACGGCGAATACAGTTCGTAATACAAGAAGAACAACTTTATGACGAATGCAAGGCAACATTAAATAACTCCTATTTATCAAAGGTACTGTGTTTTTGCCCCAGGGGGGTACTTAGCTTAATTTTTGCTCGGTACGTGCCGCTGGCCTCTCGGAGCCCCTACCCCATTATAGTCTATTCTGTGGCCAATTGTGGACCCCATCTCAGTCACTTTTGGGCAAATATGTAATTTTCGAGCTCCCAAGTTAGTCACTTTCTATTATTATGAATTGACCCATTTTTTAGATTGAATGAAGAACACTTTACTTTCCATCTACAGTACAAACATTCTGATACGTTTGCTAACCGTAAGTATGAAGAACTGTCTTACTCCAAAAATCAAACAAAAGCGCAACCCCATTATAGTAACTCTTGATAATGCTACCCCATTAAAGTCAATCTGGTCGTGAAAATGCGACCCCATCCAGTGGCACATTCCCGTTGGCCTCTAAAAAAAATAGAGCATCTACAAAAATCGCCTACAAGTTTTCAGCACCGAACGTTCCCATCTAGAGGAGAAATAAAGCCACCAACTCCAGTACTTCAACTGATCTATTTTCAACCGCAAAGAAAACCCTTTCATCAATGGAAGAAAATTTTTCTTTCTTTTCATTGGCCGAGAGCCCACCACGTGACCTGCAAATAACTGCCTACAAATAATGGTCTGCTCATGCGCAATGTCGTCCAACTCGGTTTGGCTTAAGGTTTGGCTGCAAATAATATTCTGCACATGCGTAAAGGAAACCGTGGTTTCCTCCTTCTTACGATCGCTCTTACGTGATTTTGGCAGATCGCTTCGCTTCCCGAGGATATTCATTAAAAAAAACAAACTCGGTGATCGAATTATAAAACAATTATTGAACTCGGTTATTGCAAAATATCGTGATTTCTAGGTCAATTATTTGCCGAAGCCGGATTGATCTGTTCGCCACAGACAAATCACGATATTTTCCTCGACCTCGTCCAGTTATTGTTAAGTATTTGACAATTTATTCAAGCCTGGTTTTTCTTTCAAACGTCGTGCTACTACTGTTCTAAGCTGGCTCGACTGCAGTACTACACTAGCATGACTTGGTTGCAGACGTCGAATGGAACGGCTGTTGCCGAAAATAAAACTCAAAAATAAAGAGAAGGAAAGCGAACTTTTAAATATATTCTAGTGTTTTTCTAGCTGGATTTTTGATAACGTTATCGCCAAATGGACCTTTTGTGTGGAACGAAGTCTCTACTTCTCCGAAGTAGCTATTAGAAAAACTAGGAGTACAACAATTTTTTTTTTCTTGTCCTCCTTTCCTTCTCCTTTCTCTTTCTTTTTATCCTTTCCTTTCTCTTCGTTACTACGATTTTGGAGCTTTTCGGGCTTAAGGTGATGTTACACAACACAGCTTTGCAACATTGTTTGCAACATTGCACCGCTGTGTTGCGCTAAAAAGCGTTGTTGCAAATCGTCTCGTGTAACATCACTTTTAAGAAACACGCCTTTTGACGCTTTTCCACTCAAATTACTGCAAATTTCTTTAGGTTGGTTTTCAAAAAGTCGGCTAAATTCAGGTATAATTTATGAATTGAGATCGGCACGGCCGCAACATGACGTTTGAAACCTAGTCGGGCCACTACCGTGTAGCACAGCAAGCCTTGCCGTGCTACACGGCAGTACCCCGACTTGATTTCAAACGTCGCGCTACTACCACGCTGAAGTCGAATTTCATCTTCATTTCTTTCATCTTTTTGTGAGAGTTTTTCGTATATAATAAATTGTTGCTTTGTTAGGGTTGGTTTGGAAAAGAGAGAGACAAATACAAAATAAGTTCGATGATTGGAAGTTCTAATCTTGCCCCGCATCCATCGTAACGTTGTTCTTCTTGTGTTGCGAACTGTATTCGTCGTAGGTGTCTGATTACTCAGTTTCTTGAATTAAAGTTTTGGGCAAGAATACCCTGGCAGATAGGAGATAGTCCGTCGGCACTCTTTACCTATTTGTCCGTCTACTTTCACCAATGTGTTAACCTTGCATTTGAAGGTTAATTTGGCCAGCATTTTGTGCAGGGCATTCTACGGTAACGATTGACTTCAAACTAGCAGATATAAAACTAGAGAAAAATCTGTCGTAGAGTTTCCGAGTTTTGAGTAAAAATGCGGTTTTAAACATATGCCGATATCTCAAACGTTTTTATA